GTTACATATTCGCGCAAGTGCCAGCTGGCAGTTGGGCGCGTCGCTACGGTGGCCGCCTTCTACTGTTTATAAGTGTAAGCTTTAGCAGTGTATTGGCGCTGCTCACGCCGCTTAGCGTCAGCGTGGGCGATTGGCCACTGCTCTGTGCGTTGCGTTTCTGTCAAGGCTTAGTGCAGGGTGTCACCTATCCAACTATAGCCACAATTATGGCCGAATGGGCGCCAATTGAGGAGCGYAGCGCTATGCTCACCTACTGCTGTTCGGGTCTGGAATTGGGTATAGTGATGATGTTGGCCAGCAGCGGCTTGCTTTGCTCTTCGGATTGGGGTTGGCCAAGCACATTCTATATACCTGGTGCGCTTGGCTTAATATGGTCTGGCATTTGGTTTATATTCGGTGCGAGTACACCGAACAATTGTAAATATATAAAGTTAGCCGAGCGCACACTAATCGCCACTTCTCTAAAGCGTAATATGGCACAGAGTGAGAGTAGTAAAGTGACACATCCGATACCGTGGTTGAAAATCTGCACTTCAAAACCATTTCTGGTGCTCATACTCAGTCAATGTGCRTAYAGTTGGTGTTTCTGGACTCTGCTTACGCAAATACCATCGTACATTAAAAGCATACTCGGCAAAGACATACAAAGTAATGCAATCTATTCGGCACTGCCCTACCTCACAATGCTTGGCCTTTCGCTAGCGCTCTGTCCGCTTGCCAGCTATTTGGAAAAATCGAAACGTTTGAATGCGACGGTGAGTCGCAAAATATTCAATACTATTGGTCAGTGGACGCCTGCGGTCACCCTAGTCTATTTAGGCTTTCTACGCACCGATCAAGCTGATCTCGCCATTGTGCTGCTCACACTCACCGTTACTGTTAGCACTGTTACGCACTTCGGGTTTCAAGCTAATCACCTCGACTTATCGCCACACTTCGCCGGTACTTTAATGGGTATCGCGAATTCGGCGTCGAATATGATGAGCGTTATTGCGCCGCTCGTGGTGGGCTACATCGTTACAGATACGGTAAGCGCTTCAAAACAAACTAGCAAAATAAAACAAATGGTYTACTTACTATTTTTATTTTTATTCACAGAAAAATCTACATCAATGGCGCATTATTTTCTGTCTGGCGGGCGGTATTAGCTTTTTCGGTAATCTAATGTTTCTGTTATTCGGCACTGCTAAAGTACAGTTATGGAATGAAGTACCGCAAATCGTTGTAACAATGAAGCAGCAGGACGTGCAGCATTTTACGGGGGTGAAAAATGTGGAGAAGGAGGATGGCAATGTTGGTGGTTCGAAAGAAACTTTAAATTTAGTATAATTTAGTTKAATTTTATTTGGAATTTAGATATATCTTAAAAATCATAGTAAATAATTTTTAAAAAAGGGTTTATCTCGATTTGACTGGCGGGTACTGTGTCCAGAATACCCTCAGAGCTAGAGTCTTTATATCCATTCGGAGGACATACCACTCGCTCTTTATTCGCTCAACTATGTTAAATGTCATCGTATATCTCGTAAACCTCATTGTTGCATCGACTGTGGTATGCGCTGTTGCTAAGGGCCTTTCTTTCGAAAGCTCTTAACGCCGCCTCATGTCATCGTCTAAGACTTTGCACCATATAGTAGCACGAAGGTGATTAGTGGCTTGTAAATTTTGGTTCTTGATCCTTTTCTTGTTGTCAAAAACAGCTTTGAAATCGTCGAAGAGGTGATGCGTGTCGRTTCTTTTTTCGTAGGTCGTTTCCAMCATTTGAGGCATGGTGAATAKCTGGTCAGTTGTTGATTTTCCAGGCCTAAAGTCATACTCCCACGGTAATTGGCGCAGATCGTCGGGCATGCTTTCGTTTKACCATCTTCTACAAAGAACTTWTACRCGCTMCTTATTAGTTYATGGACGCCGCRTTTGCATAGATGAGCCGRCAWTTCATTAGCCCCCGACGATATATTATTCTTAYGRCGAGTAATTGCTATTCGAACTTCTTCATTGTCGGGTATCGGACCGCTCCATCGTCATCTCCTGATGTTAAACTTTCACTGACATATAGTATGTTGCGTCTAACTTCCCTCTTAAACTCTCTTTATATTCCCACTCCGCACGTGTTGTAGGCTATTGTAAAAGTGCGAGGTAGACAGCCTGTTTTCTTTCCGTACATACATACATATATGCTACGTAAACAGTTTAAAATGTCATGCCACATTTCCCTTATATCGAGTTGTTGACGAGTGCTTTCATAGAGCTGAAGCAAAAGTAGAATAAAAAATAGCTCGGCTGTCTGCTGTGATTGAAGCTTTTCGACGTCGAACCTTCCTTTGGTTATTAACGAGCAATTTTGGCTGCACAGATTCGAGTCCGTATCTTAGCTGCAACAAGATAGTRGTCTGAGTCARTGCTAGGACCTCGGAGTGTACGCACATGTAGAACACTGGAGACGTGTCTGCCATCTATCACAACATGATYGATCTGGKTAKTGGCTTTTCTATCCGGAGACAGCCRTAGGTAGCTTAATGAATTTTMCCCTGCTGGAATCTAGTACCACAGATAAYCATATTTCAGACCCCGGTGAAGCCTCAATCCATTTTGKGATGTTTCATAMTTTAKGCTGAATTTACCGACTGTTGTACGATATGTTGTARAACTTCGCTTTGATGYGGTGGTGAATGACAGTACTTGACGACGGAGTCTCTCTCCCACACGAATCCGACACCGACAATTTGCGCTTCTTTATATGGCCAATACACAAGTAGTGAACGTAACAAAGGCCTACTTGTTCCATCCATCACACTTCTTACAAGGCGGTAATATCATCTGTTACTGTAACGAGGASGTCASTTKGGCAGCAGCACCTTCCCAATTAAGATGTATGCCCTAAAATTAYAATCCGTAACACGTTTGCATGTGTCATCATCAAAAGGGCRCTCTCTCATCCGAGGCTRTTTAGGCTTTTTCATTGGTAGTGTTTTTTCGCTTTAGCTCGTCTTTCAACGAATGTTCTTTGGCTACCCARAGGATACTTCGTCTAAGMCCGGAAGTCTTGAGCTGTTTGAGATATATGTAAAAAAAAGTCGTTTCTGCCCACTCCAAAGTGAATTGCAATCCGCAAACTTTCCTCAATTGCGTGAACTTTCCCACATGGCTCCATCTTCCAACTTTGCGATTCAGCAAGATATATTTAATATTGACAAACGCATGATCACAAAAATCTGCTATCTCAGAAATGGGCATACCCGTAGCACAGTACAGAAATTTCATTAACTCATATATTTACATRCCTTTTCCACTTCTCATTTGTATCCAAAAATACTCATCACAGAAGTGCAGTGTCATGCTCGTTTGACAAGTAGAATGTTTAATATAAATAAAAACTTTAAAATTTCCACTCGAAATAACGTCAAGAACATGCAATTATTATCTATTTTATTTATTAAAAAAATACACAGTAAAAAAATATTAATATAAATTAAAACACCAGATTACAGGGCGTAAGTTAATGAACCAAATATGTACCATTATGGTCAACTTTGGTCAGTTTTGCCATTTTTCGGTAGAGACATTATTCCATCAGTGTAACGCTTTTTTGGTTTCTCGGCGAAAAACTGCGACAAGTAATTTTCATAGGCTTCTCTTTCTTCATACCATTCTCTTGAAGCCACTTTTCTCCATTAAGAGAGCTCTGCATTGACCGAAACAAAGGGTAGTCCGATGGTGTAAGGCCGAGCTTATATGATGGATGTATCAAAACTTCCCAGGCTGGAGCARCTCACAGTAGATGATTTCTTTCCAATCCCACCAAACACATTGMATAACCTTTCGAGCCGTCAATCCTGATTTGTGACCATTTGCTGAGCTTCACTACGCTTGGACCATGATCTTTTTCGCACATTATTGTCGTATTTGATCCACTTTTTGCCTGCTGTTACCATTCGCTTCAGAAATTGTTCGATTTAAATCCGTTTCATCAAAGAATCGCAGATGTTAATTCGGTCCATTAAATTTTGTACAGCCAATTCATATGGTACCCAAACATCGAGCTTCGTTTGATGATGAATGTTAAGTTCCTTAGCGATGCTWTGGATCGTGACATAACTAATCAAGCTTTTCCATAATTTCATCGACTTTTCCAACGATAGGTCGACTAGAGGTACATTTTTCACATCGAAATTTCCAGAGCGGAAGCGAGCGAAGCATTGCTGAGCTACACGAACTGATACAGCATCGTCTCCGTAAACTTCACAAATTTAATTGGTGGCTTGCGTGGCATTCTTCCTTTTTTTTATAAAAAAATTTCAAAATTCTTTTCTTCATTATTTTCATTCATTCTTGAACAGCTGTAATTTTTTTTTTCAACTTCCCCGAATTAAATTTTGTTTTTTGAATAACTGAAGCGTTCACCTTTTTAACACTATATGGTATGACAAAATGTGATTGGTAGCACTGGAGATATACGAAATCTATTGACAAAATACGAAACGACTTTTTCGACTTGCGGTTACTCAATAAAAATACTCTACTGCTTTTACCTTTTTTAACACCAGCGGATTTTTTACCATGTTCCCATTTAACGTTGGGAATAAGTAAATAAAAAAATTCAGTAGCTATTCTACATATATTCCATAGCTTTCTACCCAGATTTATGGCTGTGACACAGCATAAGTAAATACTGTGTGTTAATGACAACGTTTGAACGCTTTCCAAATATAGCGGCTGCTCTTATTTTAACTCCTCTCAAACCATACCGAACATACGGTGAACGAAGTTGGTGATAACAGGATTGTGGGTGTTTGTATAAATGTGTATTTGAAATGGAATTGTTGTTATTATTGTTGCAACATTTATATACATTTCAGCATTAATGTTCATTATCATCAAATTATTTATTTATATCAACATATACATTTGTATATGTATACRAAGACACAGACATATCTTATCACTTCTTTGGATGAAGTCGTTGGATGCATTAATCATGTTTTTCTTTAAAATAGAGCCGCTTGATGCGTAGAGAAGATTTTGTGCTCGCAACCATCGCCGGTGTAAGTCGTTAAATGCTTATTACGCAGCAAATTCAAAGACAAGAGCAGTAAGATAGCTACGCGCGCAGATATGGTGACAACACGACGATTTTCGCTTGAGCCTAATGGCAAGTTCAAGGGTAAGACGATAGGATTTAGGCACTTGCAATGTCTGCTCATATCCTTGGGCTTCAGTTTGCTTTTCGCAATGCGTGTAAATCTCTCTGTGGCCATTGTGGCTATGATGGACAACAAGGGCTCGAATCCAGACTTTACGGTGTGTATTTTATCACAAWTSCACCAGACTATTTTATSGTTACATAAGCRGTAAAYGCTTGAGATTGGTTAACTAATGTGTGATTTTACTTCTCTCTGCAGGAATACCATTGGTCACAGCAAACGAAATCACATATACTGAGCAGCTTTTTTTGCGGTTACATTTTAGTGCAGATACCGGCCGGTGGTTGGGCGCGTCGCTTCGGTGGACGTTTACTGCTGTTGCTCAGTGTCACGCTTAGCAGCATTTTCGCGCTAATCACACCGCTTAGTGTCAGTTTGGGCGGTTGGCAGCTGTTATGTATGCTACGCTTTTGTCAGGGTCTGTGTCAAGGCGTTACGCTGCCGACTATAGCCACGCTGATGTCCAAATGGGCACCGATTGAGGAGCGTAGTGCCTTACAAACTTACTGCTATTCTGGCGCTCAATTGGGCATAGTTGTGATGTTGGCCACCAGCGGTGTGCTTTGCTCCTCGTCCTGGGGTTGGCCAAGCACTTTCTACCTACCCGGTTTATTGGGTTTAGCTTGGTCGTGCCTATGGTTGGTGTTCGGTGCAAGCACACCACGCCATTGCAAGCACATATCGGCGGGTGAGCGTGCCATGATCGAGGAATCGTTAGGTCACGACACCARGAGCGCTGAATTCGCTAAAACACATGCTGTGCCGTGGAAGCAARTATTCACGTCGAAACCATTTTTGGTGCTGATCTTCAATCATTGTACAAATAATTGGTGTTTCTGGACGTTGCTCACACAAATACCGTCGTACATTAACAGCGTACTCGGCAAGGATATCAAGAGTAATGCTTTGCTCTCATCACTGCCTTACATCACTATGTTGGCGTTGTCTATGATCTGCTGTCCGCTAGCGAGTTGGCTGGAAAAATCGAAATTGCTGAACGCAACCGTGAGTCGTAAGATCTTCAATACAATTGGTCAATGGATACCGGTGGTCACGCTTGTATCACTCGGCTATCTGCAGCCAGATCAAGGAGATTTGGCAATCATTTTGTTAACCGTAACTGTTGCCATCAATACAATTGGCCACTTCGGCTACGCGGTGAACCATCTGGACTTGGCGCCCAACTTCGCGGGTACTCTTATGGGCATTGTCAACTGTTCGGCAAATGTGATGAGTATCATAGCGCCGCTGGTGGTGGGTTACATCGTCACCGATACGGTAAGTCGCAGTATTTGTGTTATATAATCCACAATCATTATTGAAACCATTTTTTTTTTTTCTGAAAATCAGACAAACGTTTATCAGTGGCGCATAATATTCACAGTGGCTGGTGGCATGAGTTTTTCGGGCAATCTAATGTTCCTAATTTTCGGTACCGCCAAACAACAACCATGGAATAATCCACCACAAATAGTGCAGGAAGTAGAACCGCTCAAGAGTTTAGGCGTCGATGCAAAGCAGTTGGAAAGTGAGCAAGAGAAGGTTTGAGCGACGTGTTTGATAACGACTCAGTATTGCCATTAGTTTATATTTAATATTAATTTTTTAGTATAATATATTGATAAGTCTAGCTTAAGGACTAGGCATACAAATATAAAGCTTTCGAATATATTTCTGCAGAATTCTAATTAAATCGATAAATATGCCTAAATCCAAACGCTAGAAGGAAGTTTTCTTCCGTTGGGAATGACATAATTTTTACTTTCGAAATCTGTAAGAATTCTCACTCCATCAATCGGCAAAGTTGAAATTCCAAGCAAAAAAATAAAAAATATAGGGTAGTCGATGAAATTTTTCGTATTTATAATAAAAACTTTGTAACTATTGCTCTACAACCAGCGCCCTGATCTATATTTCTATSCTAGAAAAAAAATTTCTATAAACCAACAGCTATTTTAGGAAACAGTAAGAAACATTAGGAAATGCTCCGACAAAGATCTGCCACAGTTAAAAATGCCGATTACAGACACAGAAAGAAACGATAAGATAACCTTGCAAAACTCATAATTATRAGAGAGAACCCCGAAAAGTGTTGAAAGAGGTCGGCGCTTAAAAATTTAATTTTTAGTACATACAACCAATCATATAACTTGTGGGATATGAAAACTAAAGCAGTTTATTTTTGAGAAATCTCAAAATATTCCACACAGACTCATGAAAGTAAGAGATTATGCTTTAAAGCAAATAATCAGAGACATAAGATTACGAGTAATTTGAGAAACAGTTTATTTTGATATTAAATATTCTAAATAATCAAATATGCTAAATGTCAACTTTATTTTGTCGCGTGAGTACTTAAGACATAAAAAAGCTCTCCTTCAACTACGCAGCTTAGGTAGATGACATAAAGCTCATGGCTTTAAAACGACGTACAGCTATATATAGATTAGCCTAGACATTTCTATCTCACCGTTTTAATCATTTAATATCCATTTGTTATCACAAAAACAGCAAATAAGTTCCCAAGTGAATGAAGAGCCATGGAAACGAAAAGAAGAACAAAATAAATTTATATAAAACCTGTGTACATTGAAGAACAAATCATTTGTGAACGCCGTCGTCGAAACACAGTTTACATGCTAGCGGTCAACAAGTAACACACTTATAGACATGGTTCTGAATCAACGCTATTCTATTGAGCCTAGCAGTCAACTTAAGGGCAAAATCTTTGGTTATCGGCATCTACAATGTCTGCTGCTTTTTACAGGATTCCTATTGGTTTTCGCGACGCGCGTCAATCTCTCAATTGCAATCGTGGCGATGATGGATAATAAGGCAGCAAATCCCGATTTTCCCGTTAGTGATATAAGTTTGCTTGACAGAAAAGACAAAATTAACTATTCTGTTCGTTTACTTGTAGGAATACGCCTGGTCTGAGCAAACCAAATCGCATATACTCAGCAGCTTCTTCTGCGGTTTCATTTTGCTGCAGATACCCGGCGGTGCTTGGGCGCGTCGTCTTGGCGGTCACATTTTGATGCTGGTCAGCATTGGTGTCAGCAGYGTTTTAGCRYTRCTRACGCCACTCAGTGTGTGCATCGGCGGATGGCCTCTGCTGTGTGCGCTGCGCTTTACGCAGGGTCTGCTACAGGGTGTTATCTTACCATCGGTTGCAACGATTTTGGCCAAATGGGCGCCCGTCGAAGAACGCAGCGCCATGCAAACGTTTATCTACTCCGGTGCTCAGTTGGGCATTGTRGTGATGTTGGCTACRAGTGGCAATCTTTGCTTATCGCGTTGGGGTTGGCCRAGCACCTTCTATTTGCCTGGCRCTTTGGGCTTAATTTGGTCTGTACTTTGGTACTTATTTGGTGCGAGTACGCCACGTGATTGTAAGCATATTTCGAAGGAAGAGCGCGCTATGATTGAAAACTCGCTGGGACATGATAAAAAGGCAGGAAAGGAAATAGATGAGAAACATCCAGTGCCTTGGAAACGTATATTTACATCCAAACCATTCCTAGTSACACTCGTGAATAGCTGTGCGAACGATTGGTGCTTTTGGACTTTGCTCACACAAATACCATCGTATATAAAAAGTGTACTCGGAAAAGACATCAACAGTAATGCATTGATCTCAGCGCTGCCCTATATGTCTATGTTTACTTTGTCCATGATACTCTGTCCCATTGGYACTTGGTTGGAGAAGTCKAAACGTCTGAACCCAACTGTAAGTCGTAAGATATTCAATACAATCGGTCTGTGGGGTCCTGCGTTGGCGCTAATATGTTTGGGTTATTTGCGCCAAGATCAAGGCGATTTGGCAATAGGTTTGCTAACGGCAACCATCACATTTAGCACGCATGTGAATTTTGGCTTTGCTGTGAATCATYTGGACTTGGCGCCGAATCTAGCTGGCACTCTTCTCGGCATTGCTAATTGTGGTTCCAATATGACGGGTATCATAGCACCACTCGTTGTCGGTTATGTTGTCACTGAAGCGGTTAGTTGACGAAAATTAAAGGCTTGTGTTACATTTGCATTAATCTATTATCTTTTTCTAATTATTCCCAATAGACAAATATTCATCAATGGCGCATAATATTCTTTCTTTCCGCTGGCATTACTTTTGTCGGTAATCTCTTCTTTCTCATTTTCGGTACAGCTAAGGTGCAGCGCTGGAATGAGCCACCACGCGAAGTTACTCCGATTGAGCAACTRGAGCAAYTGGTCGATAGTTCKGGCGAACCTCAGAACGCAGCGGAAGAACCCGATGATGGAGATGTCAAGAAATCAGATGTGGAACAGAGCACCGTTTAGAYTGGCTTTGTGGATAGATTTTTTGAAAATAAATGAAAAGTTCGAAAACATGATTAAACYGATATGTAGAAATTTGAGCGTTGAAACCGAAATCTTTTAAGCAAGACAACTRTTTGGTAGACCGCTAATTGTGCCCCAGATATACGAGATTGTGGTTGATGACCTTGTACACATATACACTTGTAAGACATTTGCTGTTGATGTTGATGTCGTTTACAGATACATTTATGGAGAGATAAATAAAATGTAGTATGTGAATACAGGTACTCCTTTTTTTAAGTTAAATGAACAACACTTCTGACTTGGTTTTTTTTTTTTTTATTTGCGTATACTAAATATAAGCAAACAAAGAATAGGGAAGCACTAGATACGGGTGAAGAAACAGTTTGATAGCTGAAATAAATGAAATGAAACCTTTTGGAAACCATATAAGAAAAATAAAATCTTCGTTTTTCTAATAAATTTGGTGCCATATATAAAGGGTGATGCCTTTYGGTGTTCCTTACTTTTTTAAGAAAAATATACGGAAACTTCAAATTTAATACAGAATTTTCGTTATCACTCAAAATAACTTTATATTTCTCTTTCAAATGATGTCCGCGGCTGCGTCTCAGATGCTCCACCCTTTGAATCCAATTTTCGATGACTCGTTTGAGCATTTAGACGGGTAACGGGTGATTGRCATGCCTGATTGCCTGTATAGACTTCAGACTTTTCATATCGCCACAGTAAAAAGTCTAGCGATGTGATATCATACGATCGTGGTGGCCAATCGACCCTRATTACTAAATAAAATCATTGGTTGATACGATATGAGGCGCGGTCTTGTTGAAGTCAAATGTCGCCGAGATCACGAGCTTCAATATYAAGGAATTTTTTGGAAAAATATAGACCGATGTTTCCACCGGCCCACAAGCCACAACAAACCTTTGTTTTTTCTAGATGAAATGGCAGCTCTTCAAACTCTTCATTTACATACCTATTGAGCCAGAAATGGTACTCATCTCTGAACAAAATTTGTCTCGAAAACGTCGAATCTTTTTAGAACTTTTCAATAGCCCATAGAGCAAAGCGATGTCGCTTGG